TACATACATACATACATACATATATATATATATACACATATACATATACATATATACATATACATATATACACATATATACACATATATATACATATACACATATACACATATATACATATATACATATATATATCTTTATATATTTGTATATACATATAGTCAGTTAAGTTATTCTTCTCATACAAAAAGAGAAAAGTTTAGACTTTATTCCTCTCACAAAAGAAGAAAAAAAGGGGCAAAGTAACTCAAGCTCCTTACCCCTCCTTGCGTACCCCACAAGTACTATCCATCTCCTGCCATTGACCCATCCTTCTGAAATGAATCATTCCTTTCAACATGCAAGTTACAACAGGTCACAGTCAATCCATGTTTGCTCTTAACCAGCTGAATCCAAATACTGACAAAGAACAGACACCATTTTTATGAAAAATGGGTTGTGAGGGCTTGGCTTTTCTCTGGCAAACATGGAACATCCTGCTACATTTGATCCTCACCGTCTAGTTAGGCAAAGATCTCGAGGATGTGTATTCAAACGAAAGACAGAGGAAGAAACATGGATTCAACAAATCACTGGCTCTGACCATATCATCATCTTTGCTCTCAATTTTTACGGGACAGGGCTGAGAAGACGATAGTAGTCTGTGAAGATTTACATTTCTAGCCTTTTGGAATTTCTTCAAGAACTCCATCAAGAATCTCCACCCAAGTGCAAATCCAAAAACCAAAGAGCTGGTGTCAAATCTCTGTATTCAATTTAATAGTCCACATTAAGTTAGGGGAATTGCAAGGTGAAAAACTAAATTAGCAAAATAAACACAATTAATCCAAGTATTGCATGCCCCCTAAGCGCACACTCGTCTTAGAGATTCAAAACTCAAAGCAGATCCCTGATTAAAGTGCACTCAGTAGCAAGGGAGAGAGAAACGGAGCAAAACAGCCAGCTCTGGAACCAGATTAAGCTGCTCTGGCTCATCTTCTGTCTTCAGGCAGATCTAAGAGAGCATGATTGACCTCTGCCTGGCTTCAGCAAACACGTGCACGCACGCACACACAGGAGAAGAGAAACAAGACAAGACAGGATTGGACATCCAGACGGACCATGATAGTCTATCATTGCGACGAACAAAGTTTGCAGTCTGAAAATAAAAAATGTCAGCTCAGTCTTACTTGGAGACAGAGGCAGTTCAGATCACTGGAGAAAATTGATGAGGCCAGTAAAGGATGCTGCTGGTTTTTAGAACAAGTAACACTCATCATCTCAGTAATCTACAGAAGGACTGGCTTTGAGAGTCCGTACGGTCCCATCATGCTCAAAATACATCGCTGTAAAAGAAAAGCTTCAATTGGAACTGTTTACTACAGCACTGATGAGAAATTTCCTCTTCTGCGCCTCATGACTGCTGCAGCAAAACGCTGCTTCTAAAATTCATGGTTGTTGATAAACTAAGGCAGCAAAACAGTAGTGGTGATATTTCTTGATCACCGGCTGTGGTATTCCTTGTGATACGCTGTAAAACTGGGAATGAAATGCATCTGTGTCCATGTTCGCATAAAATCAGTGGTTAATTGCGTGTGTGGTTGCAAATATATATAAAAAATATGAATTTCAGTATCAGTTCTTCCCCTAGTGATGTCATTTGTGTGTATGGAGCACAAAGCCAGATTTTGACAGTCGTTTCCCTCTTCCTCACACTGTGTATGTATGTATATTTAAAGCTGTGTGTGTGTTTGTTGCTGGCCTTTCAGTGTTTATTTGTGTACCAGTGTGTTACTAGTATGTATGTGCTTAAATATATGGCAAAGAGCATGTGTATGTGTGTGTAGGTGTGGCTCAGGAGGACATGCACTGTACATGGTCTGGCCCTCCCTCTTCTTCATCAGAGGAATCTGGCGAGCTCCAGGATTCGTCTGTGTCGCCCTCTCCCCCCTCCCCTCGCCGGGCCTACAAGGTGCAAAACATTGAAGCAATCAGTATATAGTTTTTTGTTTTTTTTAATGGCTATGAAGAGGTCAGATCATATAGGATGAGGTTAGGTTCTTTTCTGCCAGGTAAACCAATAGTTTGAAGAAGCATTATAAGGTTATTCTATAGTTTCCATTTTAGTTTGAAAAAGCATGAATAGTAGGTTACGTGTAAGAGGGAACAAAAACGCCACCATTTGAGTGATTAAGATTTTATATAGCAGCATGTTGCTTTGCACAAAGTTGAAGGCAGTGTGTATCTTCAATACATAGAAATGGACTACACAGTCAAGCTGATAACTAGGGTTGGGCACCGGTACCTAAGTAACCGGTTGTACTAGAACCGAATCAGAACGCAGATTTCGGTGCCACTTAAATGCCTGAGCGATCGATTGAAATATTTGTCCTGGTTCTCCGAAATGGACGTAAGAAGCATGGGCGTCGCTAGGCCGTTTTTAGCGGGGCTATAGCGATTAGCTCCATAAACTGTACACAAATTCGTGATCGCCTCAGAGTCAGTCCACTTTAAATTTCATATGAAAACGGCGGCAGACTTCGTCTCCTCCCCGTCTTTCAGCGCGCTCTTCAATCCGCAGACCGCAGCGGCGCAGCGCGAGCAGACTCAAACAGATGACACAAGGTGTGTGTTTATCGATAGATTGTTATAATATCTGTAACTGTGCAGTTCTTTGTCATAAATACAGTTTACAAAAGGTCACGAGGGAGCAATCGGTTTCCCATCTACTGTAAAGTTTTCGCTGCCCAACCCTACTAATACAGGGTTTCTGCAGACTTGAACAAGTTAAATTTAAGATTTTTAAGACCTTTTTAATACCACCTTATATGAAATTTAAGACCTAAACCTGTAATGGAAATACACATTTTATTACATACAAATAACTGGCATCATTGGATATATATTGGCAATAGAAATGATCCTAGAAATGCAAATTCTTACCCGCTGAGGTCTTCGGTTTCTCATGTGTCTCATTAGGAACCAGAGGAGCTGTGTATCATACTGGTCGCCATGACGAACACTGTCTTCATCACGTTCTCGCTTGTTCTTCTTCATTACCTGAATAGTCATGATAAAATGTAAAAAAATTTGTTTTATTGCTTTTAACAAAAATATTTATTCACCTGTTTAAGTTTGCCGTCAAAGTTTGGATAAGATTTTTTTTGTATTTGAAAGATATTTCTTCTCACTAAGGCTGAAATTACTTAATCGAAAATACAGTAAAAATTGTAATAGTGTGAAATACTATTACAATTTAAAATAACTGTTTCTTAAGTTATTTATGTGTGATGGCAAAGCTGAATTTTCAGCCTTCAGTGTCACATGATCCTTCAGAAATCTAATATGCTGATTTGATACTCCTCTATCTTTTATTATCAATATTTATTATCAAGTATATTATCATGATACTTTTTTCCAGGATTCTTTGAATAAAAGGTCAAAAGAACAGCATTTAATTGAAATTGAAATCTTTTGTAAGTTTTTACTGTTACTTTTAATCAATTTAATGCATCCTTACTGAATAAAAAGTATTAATTTATTTTTTTATTAATTTTTATTCAAATGTATTATTATTTTATTAAAATAATAAATAAATAAATGTATTTTTTTAAATATATATACACCTTACTGACCCAGAACCTTTGAACAGTAGTTTACATACAGTATATGGTTGGCTAAAAAAAAGTCAATGCATTGTATAATTTATTATTTAATTCTTGTCAATTTCCATGACATTTTTACACCCAGAAATGATTATTTTAAATATTTTCAGGTTTTCAACACTATCAGATTAAAAGGGTCAAAACGTACACACTAAGCAATGACTTAGTCTTATGCCAAGTTTATGGTCATTTTGACACTTGAAAATATGCTAAAAATTCAGCTTTGCCATCAGAGGAATAAATAGCATTTTTGAAATATATTAAAATAGAAAACATTTCTTGTAAATTGTATGAATTTTTGATCAAATGAATTCTGCCTTGGTGAGCAAGAAAAAAAAACATCTCCCAAACTTTTGTACAGTAGTGTAAATCTGACACAAATGAGACCCACTAAATTTCATGTGATATGCATTATAGGATAACATCTTTCATAGCACAGTATGTATATAATGTGGCGCAATATGTAAAATTTGTCTGAAGTGTACCTCTTTAAGTCCCTTTAGTGTTGTAGGATTCTCAGCAGTGGGCGCCCACAGCTTCACATCATGATCCAAACCACTGGTGGCTAAACCTGGAAGATGAGGATGTGGCTCCAGACAATTCACCTGAACACAGAAAGATAATATTATTTATATATGATTTTTTTTTTTCAAACCAGAAGTTCAATGATCTAGTTCAATTTAGTGAAGTGACAGTGTCTTACCACTCCACCCCGGTCTCCCTCCATAAACTGAACCACACGAGCAGAGTTCTTATCCCACAGGTAGACGTGTCCACAGTCACTGCCACTGACAACAAACTCACTACAGGGACCATAAAAGTTAACTCCCTTCACTGGAGGAGGATTTTCCAGTAGCAGATGGAATAAGAAAAAAGGGGGTGATGGTTAAGAACTGTATTTTTCAAAAACTGAATTTATATTGGTTAAAACATGCAAGCAAAATGTGATAAACACCTTATACTGCAATTAAATAGTGTTCATTTTGTCAGCTATTCTTAATTTAGTCTTAGTCCTTTGTCAAATGTAACTTTTAGTTTTTATCATATTTAGTCAACTTGTCCTGTTTTAGTCAAGTTTTAGTCGACTAAATGTCTGAGAATTTTAGTCTAGTTTTAGTCAGTGGAAACTTACACATTTTCGTCATATTTTCATCTTACTGTATAATGGTTAAAATGATGAAAAAAAAATGTATTTTGCAATGATTGTTGTTATTTGGGAAATTTATTTTTACATTTCATCAGAAGTTGCTTTCACCAATAAGCACAAATCAATAGAATATCGACTCGTATGCATGGTTTATTTTACCTCATCTAACGTTAGTGTACAGATTTATAACAGGATATCTCGCCCGGTCTACGTTATGAAAACTGGTGTAACAAAAACCTACTCTTAAATATTATAACAGAGAAATTCCTAATAGTAATTCCAATAATTCCAAACTGCATTAATGTTTCTCTTTTAAAACAACGGCAAAAAGACATGTTGCTGCACAGAGGTTGCGTAAGTAACGTTACAATCAGCAAACCACTATCGCAAACAATACAGTCGAGATCCATGACAGAACACAGATTGGCTGAATGACACTTTCATTCAAGCGGAATACCTCAAATGAAGATCGCTGAACTCCAGCTTGTACAGTACTGTATGTCTGTGTTTCAGATCACGGCGCCTCCACAGAGAAAGCGCATGTGAATGGTTGCCAGATTGCATAAAGCCGGGCAGAGTAACGTACGTATCCGTTTAACAGAAAAGCTCTGATTGGGGGATCTGATCTCTTGATATCTGGCAACCACAAACATGAACGCTCGCATAATACAGTCTTGTACAGCAGTCAGAAAAGCTTTGGCTCCACGTTTTTCAACATAAATAAAAAGGTTTTGGTAAAGTTTTTGTTCTTTTAACTACATTGTAGTCTCGTCTTTTTTCGTAAATGATATTGCATGTGCATTTAGTCTCAGTTATCATTTAATTACCTTATTATCATCTCGTCATCGTCTCGTTTTTGTCAGGGGAAAAAACCTTGTTGACTAACATTTTTCGTCAGTTTTCGTTAACGAAATTAACACTACAATTAAATCAATGAAATCAAATAGAAAGTACCTGTAGCATTGTTGCGGTGACCCTTGTATCTCCTGCGGTAATCCGCTCCATCACTGTGGCTGGAGTCAAAAAGGTAAATGTCCTCATCGTTGTAACTTGCCAACAGATCTGAAAGACAGTTCAACCATGACATACTTTGAATGTAACTACAACAGCCCATGTTTAATGTTAAAGTTTTTATTCAAAAGGGATGCAGCCATACAACAGTCACTTTCTGAGAGTTAAGTGTGCATATTACCTGTGCCGTCATGGCTGTACACTAAACAGGTAATATTTGTTTTGGACTCGCTGGACACCAAGTGAGAGGGACAAAACTTCTTCAGCACACCATTATTATCATGTTCATTTATCTTTCTCTGGTCATAGATCCTATCACATAAAAAGAGGAAGAGGGAGAACAGTTGCCCAGTCTGCTGACACAGTGCCGTTGGAGAAACAATTGTAACGGGTTTAAAGTTTGACAGCTGCATCAGAAGCAGCTAGTGATAAAGACAACAGCATGACTTCGGTGCAAAGGAGGTGACATTTCAGTGAAAATGCTTGTCTCACCTGACATACTGGTCTCTTCCACCCACAGCAAAGTGGTGTGTGTTGGCTGGATTCACGAAAATGGTGTACAGCCCCACCTTCTTTTCACCCTCCTTCACCACCACCAGTTTGCTGAGAGATTAAAAAAAAAAAAAAAAAAGTACTAAAAATGATCGGTCAATATAGCAAACAGTATATGCTTCACATAGAACAAAAGTGTGTAATGTATCCTATGAATCACAGTATGTACTATGCACTCTTACCTTGAAGAATTAAATTAAATTTGAGTGTACAGAGATATTTTTTCTATGATGCCAGTAATGTTTTTGGGAGGAATCTACTCATTAAAACATTATAATTTCTCTAATTTGACAAAACGTTTTCTGTTTCTTCAGTACAGCAGATGTTCTTCTATTATTGGCCTTTTGTATTTTTGTTGTATAGAAAAGAAAATCAATCAAAACAAAATCAGGAAGAAGAGGGGAACAGGATTGCAAGCCAGAATATCAAAAAACACATTCAATGTTAGGCTGCCAAAAAAGGATGACAATCAGGGCTGATTCTAGGATTTCTAGGACCTAAGTATGAGCTGTTTTTATAGTAAGCATGAAAAGAGATCACATAATAAGATATTTTTAAGGGTAAGTAGACCCAATTTAGCCCCAATATAGTGGGTCTTAAAAAGCCTCACAAAGGCTACATTTATTTGATCACAAATACAGTAAAAACAGTAATATTGTAACATTTAAAATAACAGTTTACTGTTACTCCAGTCTTCAGTGTCACATGATCCTTCAGAACAGATTTGGTGCTCAAGATACATTTCCTATTAATATCACTGTTGGAAACAGTTGTGCTGTTTAATATATTTAAGGAAACTGATACACATTTTCAGGATTAAGGATTCAGAATAGAAAGAACAGCATTTATTTGAAACAAGAATATTTTGTAACATTCTATGTCTTTACTCACATTTTTATTAATATAATAAACCTTTCCTGAATACAGGTACTCATTTCTTTAAAATGAGTACCTATATTCAGGGGGTCTTACTGACCCCAAACTTTGAACTGCTGGGTTTATCATCATGTTATTAAATGGTACAGTTTTATAGCATTACTTCTCTGAGGAAGTGTAATAATTAAACTACTTCCATAAAACAAACAATTAACAGTGTTTACCCACATTACACTGTGTTCCAAATTATTATGCAAGTGACATATCAATAGGATTTCAGTACAATAAAGAGTCAGATTTTTGTTTGTTTTGATTTTCACATCATTTCAGGTAACTGGTATCAATCTCAGACAGGTTTGTTCAATAGTTTGCCAGGTCTTCTTAGGTAAATGGAAACCCTACTTAAAGAGGTTGTTCCACATTATTAAGCAAGTCACAGTTCTCATGAAATATGGTGAGGAAGAAAGATCTTTCTGAAGATGAAAAGTATGAAACAATGCAATGTCTTGCAAAAGGCATCAAAACAAATCATATTTTGTGAAAAGCAAATAGAGATTATTGAACTGTCAAAAGATTTGTGAGTGACTTCTTGGTCAGAAGATCTTGGTCAGATAAAGATTTATTAAGGAAAGTTTCTGTCAAACAAATGAACTGTGTTGTAATGCCAGCTGTAAAAAAGCCACTGCTGAGCAGCAGACAGGTGTTTGAAGCTACTGGAGTCTCAAGATCCTCTCCATGCAGACTGGCAGTTGTGTGTAAAGCTGCGTTTCAGTCACTGCTAACCAAACCTCACAAAGAGAAACCTGCACAGTGGCTGTAGAAACACATTTTCAAACTGTTTAGCACCATGGTATTTATGCAGCATGGGATAGTGTGTTGTCCTGCATGAAAATCCTTTTATTTCCGAGAGCACTATTCTTCATTTTATACCACAGCAGAAAATGGTCAGTTATGAACTCCACATATCTTGCAGAAGTCATTTTGACACCCTAAAATGACCTTACATCTCACTTCCCAATATTCCAACCCAAATCATCACCCACCGCCTCCTTGCTGATGTTGCAGTCTCATTGGAATAGGATGGCCATTCATCAACTATCAGAAATCCATTTATCTGGACCATCCATTGTACTGCAGCATTCGTAAGTGAATAAAACTATTTAAAAACAAGTCTTCATGTGTTTCTACAGCCACTGTGCAGGTTTCTCTTTGTGAGGTTTGGTTAGCAGTGACTGAAACGCAGCTTTACACACAACTGCCAGTCTGCATGGAGAGGATCTTGAGACTCCAGTAGCTTCAAACACCTGTCTGCTGCTCAGCAGTGGCTTTTATACAGATGGCATTACAATACAGTTCATTTGTTTGACAGAAACACTGTCAAAAGATTTGTGAGTGACTTCTTGGTCAGAAGATCTTGGTCAGATAAAGATTTATTAAGGAAAGTTTCTGTCAAACAAATGAACTGTGTTGTAATGCCAGCTGTAAAAAAGCCACTGCTGAGCAGCAGACAGGTGTTTGAAGCTACTGGAGTCTCAAGATCCTCTCCATGCAGACTGGCAGTTGTGTGTAAAGCTGCGTTTCAGTCACTGCTAACCAAACCTCACAAAGAGAAACCTGCACACTGGTTAGGGTTAGGGTTAACTATTGTACCGAAATCCTATTGATATGTCACTTGCATATATAAATATAAAAGTACCACTGTTAAGTAAGTCATATAATTAATAACCTGTGAGAAAAGCTTCCACTGACTCATCTAGCAGCTGATACAATTCTTTGTAGTATTTCTAATCCTGTCCCTGTTCACTTGTGTCACTCTGCTGAAGTGCTCCTTTTCTTTTCTTCTGGCAATCTTAGGGCTATTTGTGACATGACACTCACTTGGCAGGTCTGTCTAAACGCAGGTCAATGCGGAACACTACTGCATCTTCACCAGCGGAGAGGAAAGAGCAGGGAGAGTCTGGCTCCAGTGCAAGCTGAGAGAGGAAAAAAAAAATGTAATCACAAGCATTTACATGTGACTTTTTGATTGCAGTCACTTTTTATAACTTGCAATAAATCAATAAAAATTATCAGTTTTGATATTATATGAAGTATGTTCTTTGTTTTTGCACCACAATAAGATTGAATGCTTGATTCTGATTGGGCAACAGATGTTCCAAGCTGTTGATTAATGAATGTATGTGACTGTAAAGCTCTAGTCACAGATTTCAACCCTGTTTGGTTTGAGGTAACCACGGAAAAAGCAAATTGAAAACAATTCCATTTCGAAAATGAATATACACACCAGAATAATGGCCACAACTTTAAACACCTCAGAGTTATCATTCATTTTCAATAATCGGTCTGTCATAAATTATTTCTATTAAATATACAATTAAACAAAACTTTTCTGGTTGATCATACCTTATGAGCTGCACCTTTGTGCTGAGCCACTCTTTTGGTGTTCTTGCAACGTTGTGTGGCAGAAAGCTCGGCCACTCTGATCTGTCCATCTCGGGCACACATGGCCAAAGTGGAGTCACCGCTGTGTGGGAGGAACTTTGCCTGGGGACAGAATAATTAATAATAGAATGCATTAATTTAAATCTATATATTTTAAAATATTCTTCCAGACATCTGAAACTAAGATTTAACACCTTTAGTGGATACACACAAACAAGAGGTTTCTGTCCAACAACAACAACAACAACCCAATAGAAATGAAAGAAAATCACAAATAAGTTGGATAGTGGCTAAACCACTGATGTGGCTTTTATGGTGGTTATTTTTATAACATGAACAGATTCAAAAACACTTGTAAAGTATACCACTGTTCAAAATGTTGTGATCAGTACAATTTATAAGCAAATTAATAACTTTTCAGTTAAGATGCATTAAATTGATCAAAAGTGACAGTAGAGACTTCTACATTGTTACAAAAAAAAAACCATTTTAAACAAATACTGTTCTTTTGAACTTTATATTAATCAAAGAATCGTGGGAAAAAAATCACTGTTTCCACAAAAATATTAAGCAGCACAACTGTTTTCAACATTTCTAATAATAAGAAATGTTTCTTGATTACCAAATTCAGCTGTCCAAATTACACTTTAAAATAGAAAACAGTTCTTTTTCAATTATGATTATATTACTGTTTTTACTGTATTTTTGATCCAATAAATGCAGCCTTGGTGAGAATAAGGCTACATTTACACTAGTGCGTTTTAGTTTTAAAATGCATAACTTTTGCTACGGTTACGCCTGCCGTTTACACTACTCTCACGTTTTCGAGGGTCGACTTTTCGACTTTCAAAAACGCTGTAGACCCCGTTTTAGTTTGAAAACTCCAGGGTTGCGTTTTAGTGTAAACCGAACCAAAATTGAAACTTTTGAAAACGATGGCATGGCTGCCCACATTCGCTCTGCGTATCCTTGACGACCGTGTAAACAATAACATCATGCTCATTGTTGTACCTGCATGAATGGTCATGTGACATGCCTGAAACGCAAGTGTAGACGGGGAACGTTTTCATTTTAAAACACTGTTTTAAAACAAAAACGCACTAGTGGAAACAGGGCCTAAGTGACGTCTTTCAAAAACATTCAAAACTTGTTGACTCCAAATTTTAGAACAGCAGTGTTACAGTACAGGAACCGTTTTTAAAATGTTGTTATTAATTTCTAACAAGAAAGATAATAATGTTTGCCATCAGAGACCTTCAATTTGGAGTGGCACAGCAATGTGCCACTTTTTTAATCAAGATTCTAAAGCTTCAGACATCTGCAGTCAGCTGAACTGCACTTTTTCACCTGAAAGACATTGCTCTTATGTCCACTGTCAAACTCCAGCTCTGCCCTTCTGCGAGCCCAGTCCCAGATCACCACGCGGAGGTCATCGCTACCGGAAGCCAGGCGGGTGCCAGAGGGGTTAAAGTGGAGGGTGTTCACGCAGCCTGTGTGTTTCTCCAGACGGCCCTGCAGTTCCAGCCTCTGCACTAGACCTCGCGCCCCACACACCCTCCTCACAAACTGATGCGAATCACGGCCAATCTCTCGGGCACGCAGTGACGGGATCGCGCACCAGGAAGGGCGACTCAGGTCACGTAGGTCTGCTCCCAGCCACGCTTCCATGGCTTGCTCATCTTCTTCCTCAGCATCCTCTTCCTCATCTTCGTCTTCATCGTCATCATCTGAACTGGAAGAGTGGCGTGTGGCTCCACCACTGGGTCGATTCCTCTTCCTGGTGGATCTCTTACTTTCATCTTTTCCCCTCTCTCGCTGCCCTCCTCCCTCACTCTCTTTTTCTCCTTCTTCAGTGAGAGAGTACAGACCACTGCCATCCATGCTGTCGGTGGTGTCCTCCTCTTCTCCTGGCCCCTGTTTCTGCTCAGAGTTTGCCATCGGCCTGTCCTGACCATCCTCACTTCCCTCTGGGGCTGAACTCAAATTTGCTGTCAAGAGAAAACTTGAACAATTAGTGGAGCACTGCTTATTTACATATCCTGCTGTCAAGGTAACTCTAACATTATCCTAAGATTCCATAAATACACACCAGTTCGTTATTTTAGGGTATATTCTTTAATTAATACTTTTATTCAGCAAGGATGCTCAAAAGTGACAGTAAAGACACTTAGAATATTACAAAGGAATTCTATATAAAATAAATGCTGTTCTTTTGAACTTTCTATTCATCAAAGAATCCTGAAAAAAATTTATCATGGTTTCCAAAAAACTATTAAGCAACACAACTGTTTTCAACATTGCTAATAACATTTTTTTTTTCTTGAGCACCAAATTAGCATATTAGATGACTTCTACAAGATAATGTGACATTGAAGACTGGAAATGCAGGTTTGCCATCAATGGAATAAATAACATTTAAAAAATAAAAACTAGAAAATAGTTATTTTAAATTGTAACAATATTTCACAATATTACTGATCAAATAAATTACAGCCTTGGTGAGTGCAAGAGATGTCTTTTAAAACATTAAAAAAATCTTACTGACCCCAAACTCATGAACAGCAGTGTACTGTATATGACAGTTAGGACTCTATTTGTTTCCATACCTGAATCAGGACTGGTCTGGCCCTCTGGCGCTGCAGATGTATCTGCCTCCTCTCTTCCTTCTCCAGGTTCTGGATCATCAGAACCACCTGGTAAATTAAGCCCCAGACATAAAAATTGGCTACTTTTGCCATAATTTGAATACATCAGAGATTATGAGCATTTCACCCAAGACTTTATTCACTCTCATGTCGCATTGACCTCATTTTATTTTATTTTCTTCCGTGAAGCACAAAATGAGATGTTATAATGTCATGTAAACTTCCGTGAAGCAAAAAAGTGAGATGTTATAATGAATAATAATGTCAACGCTGCAGTTAATAGTGACTTAAATGTTGGTCTATTCCTCAGACAAAGATCATAGGACTTCAGAAGACACATAATAATGAGAATAAATCACATAGCCTATTGTTACAATATTTCATGGTGATTTTTTAACCTTTTTTAACTTTCCTCATATGGAGAATGAGGCACTCTGCTTAAGATCTTTTGTATTTTACTCAAAAATAAATCAGTATTGGGGTGGTACCGCACAAGGCCAAAATTTTCAGTTTTGGGCAGATTTTACTTAATGGTTTACTTACCATTTGGGACACTGGATTTACCATCTGTATCACACATTCTGTCCAACTGTCCCTTCTGACAGAAGAGAGCCTATAAAAAGAAAAAAAGAAAATGGCTTTCTTCAATCAATCACACACTGGATAGTCACCACATAACACTATTTTCAAGACAAAAAAAAAAAACTTGAGTTGAGGGTACTGTTAACGAATGCTTGACAGATCATTTAACGTTTGTATTTCATATAGTCGATTGATTACTAGAGGTCTGAATAAAATGCAGTCTTCAAACTGATGAACATAAAAAGGCATTACTGCCATTTTGACATATGGTGCTGACCCATCCAGTGACTGAGAGGATCCCTGACATCAGCTAAAGGTGGCAAAATTAGCCTGCTTGCATAGTAAATAGCTGGCATGGTAAACACCTGCCTCAAATCGCAAAAACCATGACATTACCTTGTACGGTAACAACTGAGTCCAACTGCAGACGACCCTTAGATAGCAACTTAATGCCACATAACAACTTGATAGTGCGCAGTAAACTGGCTGCGACAAGCTAGTGTGCTAACTAATCTTAGCAATTGCTTTTGTGGCATTACCCTGGTCAAAAATAGAAAAGCTGCTGGCTAGTTTTGCGAGCGCACACGGATGTTGGCAAGCAAGTAACGTTAGTTGTACATGTTCTCCAATTTGAACAAAGAGATATATTCTCAAGATTACAAAAACGTCCCGACGAGGAAATATGGTGTAATGTGTCGTGCACGAAAAACACGAGATCAACACGTCATTTTCGGATCTGTTATGAGTGCTGACCCGAGCTGACAACACGTAAACATTGGTCGTTGCGAGAAAATGGAGAGCTAACTAGCAAGCGGTGTTACCTCTAACGTTACTGTAGGCCCGAAGTCTCCGCACTTGTTAATCCTCTGCGCAGATTTCCCTTCCTTCACCTTCGAGTCACGCGCAAACAAAAGCTCGACACATTAGTTAGCTGTGCCCTCAACACACTCACGCACCGGCGAGCCAAAAAAACCCCGCAGTTTTAGGTCACGTTTCTGGTCGTGCCCGCAGTGTTTATGTTTTCGTTAGCACTTCTGTTTTTTTCCCTTTCTCTTTCCTTTTTTTTCTCTCTTTCTTTTTCCGGCAAGACACTCGTTCTCCGGAAGTGAGTCTAGATTCACAAGCATAGCGGCGCTTATACACACTGATAAATGTGATACATTATGTTCACACTAAAAACACACACACACACACTAAGATTGTTTTCTCTCAATATTTAT